CCGCGGGGACGTGGAGGGCGCGCGCTGGCGGCCGTGCGTCCGCCGCACGCAGGAGGGGCTGGGAGCGCGCGCCCGGGAGGCGCGTGGGGCGCGCGCCGCAGAGAGGAGCCGGCCAGTGGGCGGGGCGCGGGCGCGGGGACCTCCTAGTCCTGGACGCACCAAACACCCCCGCCTCCCCCGGCAGCCGGTCGCAGCGCGCAGAGGGCGTGTCAGCACCTGGCCAGGCGAGCGCCCGGGACGGAGGGCGCACCGCCGCTCCCCGGGGACTTGCACGCTGGCACGCCTAGCCCAGTGCCCGGCATGTGGTGAGCGCTCAGCAGGGCGGGAAAGCTGCTGCTGCTACTGCAGCCTTCTGAGAAGAGGCCCATTCTGTGATGTCAGGACTGCAACGCGGAGTCACGATTGCAAATAGCCAAATACATAATTCAGGAGAGTTCGGGGGCGTATCCTGCAGTGGGATGCCGAGTTCGATAAAGTTGCAGAATGCTGGGAAAGTGGATTGATTTGCTGTTGCAAAATGAATAGAAACGGCATTAGAGCTTCTATCTACCGTTCATCAGTCTGTAGGGATTGCTGACTGCCTGTGAGCTGGACGGCTGATGTTTTTCAGGCCCACTGAGAGCATCGGGTGTTGGTATAACCGCAGAGAGGCCTCTTGGGAGGTTTGACCTGGGAAGAGCACAAATATGCCCAGGTTGATTTGTGGCCTAGTTCATTTTCGTAGCTCCAACTCATAACCACGTAGCTCGATCTTTCATTCAGATTAACGTCAAATGGGTGGGGGAACCAAATGAGCAACTTTTAAAAGACTAACACGTAAGCACCTAACTCTACACTGTTCTTTTGACCCCTGAGCACAAAAACATAACAAAAGGAAAATAACAGGGAGGGGGACAAAAGAAACCAGCTGCAAAATGCCGACAATGTAGACTTGTGTCAGACTCAGTAATAGGAAAAGGTCTGTCTTTGAAAATGGCATATCCCGGGTGCAGAAGATGATTTCCCCTGAGCCACTCTGCCCAATTCAACTGCAACCCCTCTTCCCCACCCATCTCCCCAGAATCACTAGGAGGGGTGTTACCTTCAGGAAAGTAACTGATCTCAGGCAACCCTGTCCCTAAGAACATTCGAATAGGAAGGCCTCATCTTCACATGGCCACTAACAGTGCTTGACACAATTTGCTCTCAGTCATCATTATGATTTGAATACTATCAGAATCATAATGATCAAGATGACTGCCTATAGAGCCAAATCGACTGGGTTCAAACTCCAGTTTACAACCTACTGACCGTATGCTTTGGATAAGTTACTTAACCCCTCTGGGCCTCAGTTTCCTCATCCAGAAGTGAGGATAATGATGGCATTACCTGATAAGGCTCTCTGGGATTACATGAGCTAATATATGAAAGGACTTAAAGCATGTGGTATCTGGCATAAGTAAGCACTCAATAAATCTTATCAACAGAAGAAGTAGAGACAAGGCCAAGGCTCATGTCCAGCCCTGACCCCAGAGTACCCATTATAATAAGCCTGTAAAGTTGGCATGCTGTCCCATTGACATTGCTGAGGGGCCTACTCTGTGCGATCTAGGAGTCTTATGTGTACTACATTTAATTGGTCATCATACTAGCCCTCGTTTTACTGTTGGAAGGACTCCAACCTGGTTTTCTGACTCCCATGCTCTAGGTCTCCCTTCTACCCAGCCTCCAGAACTCCTGGGATAAGGAGCCCCTGCCCAACTCAAAGGACAGTGAGTTTAGCTTTCCTGCCACACACCTGAGTGTAAATGCCCCTGTCGGGCTAGGGCTCACAGACCCTTCAAACCTGTTATACAGACTGGGCTCACAGACCCTTCAAACCCGTTCTATGCAGACTGGGTCACAGACCCCTCATTAGCACGTCGGGAACTAGGTAATCGGAAAAAGATCCTGGGAGCTCTGGGCAAAGTTGATAGGCTTTATTCAGATGTGAGCTCAGGTAACTAGCAGCAACCCAGTAGCCTCCCAGGGTGTCCCAGGGGCCCTGTGGGTCAGAGCCATTTGTCCTTTATACTTAAGTCAGATAACCAAGGAACACCTGGGCGTATGTGCGCACTTAACATTTACATCAGACAGGCTAGGTCATGCTCAGCAAGATTCTGAACAGCCGAGGGAGCCTGACCATTCGCTTACACTTTCCTTACAACCCCAAACACCCCAACTTTACAGTGTTTGCCAAAGCACACCCCTCTTGTTGCCTCTTTTTTCCTTGGGCCTCTACTGACCTTGGCCTGAGAACCAGGCCCTTCTCTCTCAAGAAAAAGTGAAGCACCCAAAAACTCTTTGAGGAGGAATCTGGGAAATTGTCCCTTGAGGCAGGAAAGGTCCAGAGGTGGGACCGACTCTTGGCATTATTAATAAGGCCTGGGGTAAGGCTAATGAATGGAGGGATTTTGAGCAGAATGACAAAAGATCAGATTTACACCCCCATACTTTATATTCTTTTCCCACGGTTGAGCATCTTTCTAATTTTCCCCTCCCTTCAAAACATCAAGCTCTTACTGGGTAGACATCAAGATCCTATTAACATGTAACTCCTCCCAGGAGTATTTGTTATTGTTGTTGTTGTTTTTAATAACTCCTAGGAAGAGGAACCTAAAATAGTGAATTTTTATTAGAGGAATTTCAACCCCTGTGGTCTTGGGGAAGAGAAATTGGGAGGCAATGAAGGCTTCCCAGAGCAACTCCTCTCACCTTCCTCCTGCCAGGCGGGCCGGTGGCCGGTGGGACCAGAGTGTGCACCACCTTCTCCTAGCTCTGTGTGCTCCGGCAGGTTATTTGATCTCTGGAGCCCACCTCTATTTCCTCCAAAATCCTAACTCACTGGCATTCCCAAGGATTGAAATGGATGTCAAATGCCTATCGCTTAGTAGGGCTACACAAGTTCCTTTCCTTCCCTGTAGTGATTCTCAGCCCTGCCCCAAGGGCCTTACCAGACTTCCCAAACTTGGCTGCACATTGGAATCCCTTGGGGGAATTTTAAAACACCCGCGTCTGGGCTCCACTCCCAGCAAGTCTAATTTAATTGGTCTGGGCATCAGGATGTTTTAAAGCTTCACAGGTTATTCTAATGTGTGGCAAAGCTCAAAGTCCTGATCTGAGGAACTTTAAAAGAAGGTACCCATGCCCAGGTCCCACACCTAAACAACTCAAGAAGAACCTCTGGGGATGGGACTCTAGTTTTTTTTTAATGTCTCATACATATTTTATTCCATCCTCATATAAGGATATAAAAGGATCATGTGTGTGTATGGATTTTGTCATTGTTTATTGCACAAAAATGGGATTACATCTCACACACTTTTCTGGATCTTTCTATTAACACTCAGTTTCTACAGAAATCCCTCCAGGTCAACCAATATTATTCTAATTCATTCTTTTTAAAAATTTTTTATTTTGACATAATTTCAGACTTACTGCAACAAAGTGCAAAGATATCCCATTTACCCTTCTGTAGACTTCCCAAATCTTACCTCATTATCATATCTGCTTCACGCTTGGATGTTTTAAAAGCTCCTCAGGTGATTCTAATGCAGGCTGCCAGGCAAGGCCTCCCACGTTTCTGTGAGACTTAGAACAATGTTTATGAAACTTCTGACCCTTGTGTGAGACCTTTACATTAGAGGCAGCTGTATGAGGTGGTGCTGGGAAAATATAGGAAAATGGTCAGGGCCCCTCAGATGTTCAGAATCTTACTGAGCATTTGATGTGAATATGCATGTGCACCCAGGTGTTCTTGGCTATTAGTCAATGTAATTGCGCATATGCACCCAGGTGTCCTGGGTTGTGACTTAAGTATAAAGGACAAGTGGCTGTGACCTCCCCCCCCAGGGCCTGCTCCCCACCCCCCCTGGATGCC